GTTTTTCATTCAAATAAAATTTGTATACGTTACAAATTGTGCAAGAAACGGGGTACACTCATGTATTAAGATTGAAGCTTGTATTTGTAGGGAAATTGGACTTCACCATTCAATTTTACACATTTTTAAATGGAGGAAATGAATTTAAAATTTCAAAAAATGATTAAAAACCAGCCGGTAACAAGCAATTAACAAAACATTAAAAAAAACATGTCCAACACAGTATGCAATAACATTCTTTGGTTTTTATGAAAAATGATAGTTACCATCATTTTAATCATGTCTAAAAGTGTGAGAAACAAATTTAAAATGCCAAAAAATAATGAAAATTAAGCTCTTAAAAATCAATTGAAAAATATGACTAATTACAGTATTCAGGATGAACCGTTGAGTTTTAAGAAAATTGGATGTTACCATTAAATTCTACACACTTTCAAATGTAGGAAGCAACTTTAAAACTTCAAAAAAGCATAAAAAATAAGGTACACACATGTATGCAAACAATCAGGTGAAAAAGTGATGAATTAATTAAAAAAATGTGTCAAATGCAGCATTCAAGGTATAGTTTTCAACTTGGGGAAAAATGGTTGTTACCATAATTTTCTACATGTCTTAAAGTGTAGGAAATAAATTTAAAATGTCAAAAAATGATGAAAATTAAGCTGTAAAAAATTAAGTGAAAAAATGGGTGTAATTTGAGTATTAAAAGTGAACCGTTGAGTTTTAAAAAAAGGGCCTTAATAAAAAAACACGGTTTTTCCGCGTTTTGACGCGGTTTTAACGCACCGCAGCACACGCGGTTTCCGCTTTTAGACGCGGTTTCGTAATTAATTTTTTATGGGTTATTTTTTGACTTTTTTTGAATTTTTAAAGTTGTTTCCTACACTATAAAAGGCGTAGAATTTAATGGTAAAAACCATTTTTCATAAAAATGAATTTTGATTATTAATTTTTTTTTCCACTTATTTTTCAATTAATTGTTTGCATGCATGTATGTACCTTATTTTTTATGCTTTTGTGAAATTTTAAAATTATTTCCTAGGTTTCAATGTGTGTAGAATTTAATGGTGCAATCCAATTTTTTTAAAACTCAACGGTTCATTTTTAATACTGAAATTAGACCCATTTTTTCACTTAATTCTTTACAGCTTAATTCTCATCATTTTTCGACATTTTAAATTTATTTCCCACACTTTAAGACATGTAGAAAATGATGGTAACAACCATTTTTCCCCAAAATGAAAAATATACCTTGAATGCCGCATTTGACACGTTTTTTTTAATTAATTCATCACTTTTTCACTTAATTGTTTGCATACATGTGTGTACCTTATTTTCTATGCTTTTTTGAAATTTTAAAGTTTTTTCATACATTTAAAAGTGTGTAGAATTTAATGGTAACATCCAATTTTCTTAAAACTCAACAGTTCATTTTTAATACTGAAACTAGACACTTTTTTCAATTAATTCTTTACATGTTATTCCTCACTATTTTTTGACATTTTAAGTTTATTTCCCACACTTTAATACATGATAAAAATGATGGTAACAACAATTTTACATAAAAATCAGCGCTTGTTACTGAATACTGCAGTGGACAGGCTTTTTTTAATGTTTTTTTGATTGATTTTTACCGGCCTGATCTTAAGCATTTTTTTTATTTTAAATTTATTTCCTACATTTACAAATGTTTAGAATTGAATGGTGAAGTCCAATTTCACTCAAGATACAAGCTTCAATCTTAATAGATGAGTGTACCCTGTTTCTTGCATAATTTGTACCATATACAAATTTTATTTGAATGCAAAATGGATGCAGCCATCAATTCTGAAACCTTTAAAAGTGTAGGAAATGAGCTTGAAATTCCAAAAAATAAGGATAATTGAGCGTGTAAGAATTAATTCAGAAACACGTCAAAGGCATTATTCAAGATATAGTTTTCATTTTGATGAAAATTCATTGTTGCCATAATTTTATACATGTTTGAAAGTGTAGGAAACAAATTTAAAATGTCAAAAAATAATGAAAATTAAGCTCTTAAAAATCAATTGAAAAAAGTGTCTAGTTTCAGTATTAAAAATGAACTGTTGAGTTTTAAGAAAATTGGATGTTACCATTAAATTCTAAACACTTTTAAATTTAGGAAACAACTTTAAAATTTCAAAAAGCATAGAAAATAAGGTACACACATGTATGCAAACAATTAGGTGAAAAAGTGAGGAATTAATTAAAAAAAACGTGTCAAATGCGGCATTCAAGGTATAGTTTTCATTTTGGGGAAAAATGGCTGTTACCATCATTTTCTACATGTCTTAAAGTGTGGGAAATAAATTTAAAATGTCGAAAAATGATGAGAATTAAGCTGTAAAAAATTAAGTGAAAAAATGGGTCTAATTTCAGTATTAAAAATGAACCATTGAGTTTTAAAAAAATTGGATTGAACCATTAAATTCTACACACATTGAAACCTAGGAAATAATTTTAAAATTTCACAAAAGCATAAAAAATAAGGTACATACATGCATGCAAACAATTAATTGAAAAATAAGTGGAAAAAAAAATTAATAATCAAAATTCATTTTTATGAAAAATGTTTTTTACCATTAAATTCTATGCCTTTTATAGTGTAGGAAACAACTTTAAAAATTCAAAAAAAGTCAAAAAATAACCCATAAAAAATTAACTACGAAACCGCGTCTAAAAGCGGAAACCGCGTGTGCTGCGGCGCGTTAAAACCGTGTCAAAACGCGGAAAAACCGCGTTTTTTTATTAAGGCCCTAAAAAAATTGGACTGCGCCATTAAATTCTACGCATATTAAAACCTAGGAAATAAATTTAAAATTTTAAAAAAACATAAAAAATAAGGTACATACATGTATGCAAACAATTAATTGAGAAATGAGTGAAAAAAAATAATTAATAATCAAAATTCATTTTTATGAAAAATGGTTTTTACCATTAAATTCTACACGCTTTAAAACATAGGAAACAATTTTAAAAATTCAAAAAAAACTCAAAAAATAAGCGGTAAAAAATTAATTAAAAAAGCGGGTTTAAAAGCGGAATGCGCGTGTGCTGCGCGCAGCAGAAACCGCGTCAAAACGCGGAAAATGTGGGTTTTTTTATTAAGGCCCTTTTTATATTTTTCCTCATTTTCCTCATTTTTTGATATTTTCCAATCATTTTTCAAATTAGCTCAAAAATTCAGGAGCATCACGATTGCATGTGAGAAGAATGATTATAAATGAAAAATTGAGAAAAATCAATGATCAAAAGTTTAGAGAGCTGAAGAAGTTGGATTGATGATGAAATTGAATTCAATTTCAGTGCCTGATTGGAGGGTTGGTCTGGTGGATGACACAATCAGAACATGCTTAAAAAGCTGTTGACCATTTTTTTTGGGCCTTAATAAAAAAACGCGGTTTTTCCGCGTTTTGACGCGGTTTTGGCTGCGCGCAGCACACGCGGTTTCCGCATTTAGACACGGTTTTTTAATTAATTTTTTACGGCTTATTTTTCGAGTTTTTTCGAAATTTTAGAATTTATTCCTACACTATGAAAGGTGTAGAATTTAATGGTAAAGTCCATTTTCCATAAAAATGAATTTTGATTATTAATTTTTTTTTCCACTTATTTTTCAATTAATTGTTTGCATGCATGTATGTACCATATTTTTTATGCTTTTTTGAAATTTTAAAATTATTTCCTAGGTTTCAATGTGTGTAGAATTTAATGGTGCAATCCAATTTTTTTTTTTGATTTATCATTTATAATCATTCTTTTCACATGCAATTGTGTTGATCATGATTTTCTGAGCCACTTTGAAAAATGATTGAAAAATACCAAAAAAATCAGAAAATGGGGAAAAATACACAAAATTTTAACAAAATAATTTCCTATCCAATTTGTTGACTCAGAATCATTCTTTAAAACTTATTTTCCACAGTTTCACCAGGAAGCATAAATTGAAGTCCATTGGTTTGCCCTCTAGACTCCAATTAAAGGGTTCCATTTTTTTTCTGTCAAGGGGCTGTACAGACTCTCTTTACATCAGGGGACCATACAACACCATCTGAAAAACCCTTGCAAAGCTTGGGAGGCAAGTTCAGCAGTTTTGTTCTACTCACAGCTCGAAAAAAAAAGGATCAGATTGATAGACGAGGTTCTTTACTTGGATCCACGGCGTCTTGAGCATCCTGGCTTGCTCCGGCTTGGCTTCAGTGATATTGCGAACTTGGGCTCAGCTTGACCATCAAGCTTCTGCTTCCTCAAGTTGGACTTGGCACAAAACGTGTCTCCAGTCCAGGGACCAGGAGTCCCGGCATCCAGAGGGCAGAGTCGCGGAGCTGCGCCCGCAGGTGCTCTCCGGGGCACTTGGGATATGCAATTTGGAGACATCGAACTTCCCTGGTTCTCAAAACCAACCCACAACCTCAAACGGTTGGATCTCCCATCCCACACAACGAAGGAAAGCCCAACGTCATCAGCAAGCCAATCAATTCATCGGCACATCCTTAATAAAAACGAACAAACTAATCAATCAATATGAGGATCGAGAAATGTTATTTTTGCGGTGCCAATGTCTATCCTGGTCACGGTAAGTAAAGCAAAAAAAATCATATTGCTCTAACGCTTAAAATGGTCTAACGTTTGTCATTCTGTTCAGGGACCATGTTCGTTCGAAACGATGCTAAAATGTTTCGCTTCTGTCGATCAAAGTAAGCTGACATGCTTGAAGAATGCGGCACAGGATCGCACTTAAGGTTATACGACTTATCTGACTAACCCTCGAAAACATTACTCCCCAGATGCCACAAGAACTTCAAGATGAAACGTAATCCCCGTAAGGTTAGATGGACGAAGGCATTCCGTAAGGCCGCTGGTAAAGAAATGGCGATTGTAAGATGATTCTCTTGACCATTAGGGAGGGGTTTCACCAAGTCTGACTGTTAACTCTCTCTGTCTTAGGATTCAACTTTGGAATTCGAGAAACGTCGAAACGTTCCTGTAAAATACGACCGAGAGCTCGTCCAGACCACCATCAATGCGATCGATCGAGTCGCAGCCATCAAAGCCAAGCGAGAAAAGGCATTCTATGCCGCCCGAATGGCAGCAGCAGCCCCCGTGGTTCGCAAGAGTATGGCCGTGGAAGTCGTCAAGGATCGACATGTGCTTGGATTGAAGGACGATGAGTTGACTCAGAAGGCAGTCGAAGCCGCAGAGAGCCGACTGGCAGTGATCAATGCCCGAGAAGAAGAGAAGAAAGCGAGCAGAAAGACCAAGAAGACCCACACCGAAGATCTCGAGATGGATGCGGTCGTTGAAGAAACTGGGGAATCGAATGTCGATCTTACCCAAGCGATCTCGAAGGCCCTCGTCTCAACCGCTCTTGCTACTCGCTCCGAACCTGAAAAGACAAAGATGAAGATGAAAATTAAGAACAAAGTCACGAGAAAGTCGGCCTTGGTTCCCGCCAACCAAAGTATGGATCTTGATTGAATGCATCGACCAACCCCAAAAAAACTAGAAAGCAAAACTCAGTGTAACGGTAAACTGACGGGAATTCTGTAGTTATCGTTCCCACTACGAGTAACGGAGGCCCGATGTTTTGTCGTTTTGAATTTTCAATTTGACTATGATTATATGGCTTGTTTTATTATCGATCAACAGAAAAAATTAATTCCATTGAATGCTACGATATCAGGCAAAATACACTCAACATCGTTGCTGATAACGAAGAAAGTAAACAAAGTTACAAGTACTACAGAGAAAACCAATGAGCTCTCTAACTTTGATATTACTTTTTGAGGAGAGACACTGACACCATCAGTGCATTCTCGGCCTCCTCCAACTTGCCACTGAGAAGCCTGAGGCTACTGACACAGTGTGATATGCTTTAAGGAAGGAAACAGCCCCAATCGCCTGAACACGCAATGACTGTCTGTCTGCACACCACCTGCAAGGAGGTGTAATCGTGATCCATCGTGCTGTTCTTGAGAGAGATAGCCTTGAACAATCTCCCACCCTTGTTGCTGGCCGGGGTTGGTTGCTTGGACATCCACTAACCCTGATGAGCAGAGAAGCAGGCTTTGCAATGACTCTAAGAGTCTGGTACCACTACCAATGTCCTTCCGAATCCCACTTTCTTCTGTGGATAGTTCTGGCAAATTTGTAGGCAATGATCCAGCATCTTGAGGCAAATACTTTGATTGACTGCTCTCAAGTCCAAAACCTAGCTCAATGAAGATATGCACACTTGACAGTAAGGTGTCAATTGTTGTTGGCAGAAGATTCATTTTCCATTTGACTGTACTTATCAAGCCATTTGGGGATCCTTGAGTTATTGCAGTCATCTTGGTTGGCGGAGTGAGTGTCTCTTGTCTTTGTGGTGAGCTTCAGAAAGGCCTGTCGTAGGGAAGAAAAAAAAATTACAGTGACACTTACAGAGATTGATGGATTCAAGGCATAACTAAAAATGTTGCAACAGACATTCTGACAAGTGGATTGGCTTTGAGTCAGAGCAAATCCCTAACCAAATAAATAAGTCTATGTGATCAGACTCAGAGGCTGCTTAGCAGTTTCAAATTTTCATCGTAATAGACCTTCTTCCATTTGGGTTTGGGGAGTTTTTGCATCTTTTATCTACAAAATGTCCTGGGAGTAAAATGTGGCTGAGCTGAACCCAGCAAGCTCAGTCAACAAAACAATCTACCAAGCCGAGCAAAAAGTGATTTTTTTGGCTCAGTTAGACATTTTCTCAATTTTTCTTTGTGGGGGGGGGCTCAGTTTGAAACATTTGTGTTTTTTTTGGCTGAGTATGCTCACTGGACCTGAGTTTTACACACTGATCAGGTACTTTGCAGAAAGAAAACCAAGCCCAACCTGGGAGTTATTTCTTGAGCATATTTCAAACTCTTTGTAATGGGATAGGTTTGTCCAAAACAGAAGCCATATTCTTATTCTCAAACAGCTGGATATCTGCATGGGGTGCTATGTAACAGTCCCTCTGGCTTGGTTGAACAGTGTGGCCTAGAATTAGATCAATTAGCTTTGAGCATGAGTTGTTATTAAGGTTGGGGAGTGAACAGAGAAACTACGGCACAGCCCGTCTGCTGTGATATCTCTTCGCGTTTGAATATTACAGGCATATCACCAAACCCAGTATATGAACCTCAACTCAGATAACTCAGCTGCTTCCCATCGAGCTTCAGTAGTCAACATTCAACCATCCAACAACTGATATCGAGGAAGCTCACCAAAAAGGAAGCTTGTTACGTTGAAGCAACTGGTATGTATTTTCTCCTTAAAGGTCTGGCATCACACGCGACTGATCATTCCGATTAATTTTCAACAGGGGTACTTGTCATACCACTCCTACTCGTGAACTGAAAAGATTGAAATGGCAAGCTCAATGTTGACCTTAAGGATCAGGTGAGTGAACACGGATTAACTATAGAGGATACGAAACCAACCTGATCTTTGGGCTTCTTCTTCTTCTCCAGAGGGCCTGAAGGTTCGAGTACGATTAAAATCAGTCCTCAAGCTACAATTACTGAATTGTATCATCAAATCTCTGAACAGACTAACATTAAAAAGGAAAACCTTCAAGGTCTGTATGTTTTTTTTTCTTCCATCATCAAGTCAATCCGGGCTGAAGGTTGAGGTGTTTTTTTATATCTTGATCGCGTAAATAACATTTCCACTCAGTCCGGGTTGGATTTCCAAATCCCCAGAGCATCTCCGCTTCAGATACCGGAGCGACAGTTGAATCAGTGAATATCAAGAGCGGCGAGGTACTCCAAGCATCATCGTCTCAAGGATCATCTTCGAATGGTGCGTCGCCTGCGCCATCCACACCTGGCCAATCGACCCCACTGAGCAAACCGGCCAGGGTGACAAACGACGTGGGACGCGCGCCTGCAAAATCGAGTCTCTCCTCTCTAGCGCGGGTTCAGGATCAAAGTAGTGCCTCCCCCTCTGCATCGAAGATTGAGAACCAGGACGGACTAGACTCGGTCTCCGCCTCGGTTGCACTCGAGGCTGGTCATCTGGTCCTACGAGTCGTCCCAGACGACAATTCTTGTCTCTTCAGAGCCGCCGGAATCCTGTTAGACCATGGCGACGAGCATTCTTCTTCCTCAGACCTCTCCCATCGCTTACGCCAGATCGTCGCAGACGCCGTCAAAAACGATCCCGTGACTTGGTGCGAACCTATCCTCGGCAGAGACCCGGATCTTTACATCTCTAAAATCCTTGATAAAGACGTCTGGGGTGGCGCGATCGGTTAGTCACTATCATCCATCCTACACCCAATCAATCAAATTGTCACATACAATAAAAATAAAAATAGTGGCAGAAAGCTGCAGATGCTGAAAACTAGTATGTCTATGATCCAGAACTCGCCATTCTTGCCGATCATTTCCAAACAGAAATTTGCTCAATTGACGTTCAAACTGGAAGGGTAATTTCTTTTTCTCTTTTTTTAGGCTCCTCCCCGCAAGAAACAAAAGCGTCATAAGATGTTCAATAATTTTGGTTCCTGTCATGATTGTCGCTTCCTCACAGGTCGATAGATTTGGACAAAGTCATAACTATGCAAATCGAATTTTCCTGGTCTACTCAGGCATACGTGAGTCAAATCAATCAAAAACCATGTGGATATTGACTTCCAATCACATGATGAGAAAAAAGACGCGAGAAAGATTGGGTTTCTTGTTTTCCAAGAAGAGAAGAAATTGATTTTTTATGAATTTTCGCGGTTTTACAGATTATGATGCAATAACTTTATCGCCGATTCCACCGGAAGAATTGTCGAACCAATCTACCTGCTTCCCACCTGAATTAGATTTTGACACGACGATTTTCCCATCGGATGAAGATAGTTTCCTACATGCTGCGCTCCAATTGGTCTCTCAACTTCGCCAGATGCATTATTATACCGATACTGCTTCTTTCAGCTTACGCTGTGAGATTTGTAAGGTTGCTTTGGTTGGTTGTCTCTCTCATCTTTCCACTCCCCAAAAAAAAATCATCTACTGTTCTCTTCAATTGATGAAACACTTTGTTATTCTTGCGCTTCTGTTTGGGAAACTTGTTCGATTTAGGTGGGTGAGAAAGACGCAAGATCTCATGCAGAATCGACGGGCCATACTCAATTTGGAGAATACGCATGATCAAAAGTACAAGTAGTCATCTTCCTGCGCTTCCTCTTATCAAGTTTTCTGGATCTTATTTCTTCCTTTTCTTCGTTAGCTTCGATTAAGTTTCACCGGTTGATTCTCACTTGTTTATGTGTATACTTATCAACTGCGTATTCACACCTTGTTGTATTAGACAAGGTGATAGACATAAAAGTTTTCACATCTTGTAGTTGTTTTGAATCGTGTTCAAATTCGTCATCGTGCATCCTCATTTCAATTCGTGAACTTCATCAGTAGACTGTCCTCCTTAGCTATCAACTATGTTCATTTATTTATTTATTCTTAGGGAAAACAAGTTTTTTTTTGTAGTTGCTAGTTCACGTGTCCTTGTTGCGCTTGCTTTCGGTAGAATAATCTCATTTGTCAAAGTTAAATGCAACAGACGTCCCATCTTTTTTGGCTATTAAGTAAGGGCCTGGTCAGATGAAATACTATCAATGTTAAACGAATCACTTCACTGTGAACACATTGTTGTTGATTCTCCTCCACTGACACATTCAGTCACAAGAACCCAAATGAAGACAAAACAGTACATACCAAGAAGGATGACCTCTGATTGGTATCATTCCCAACTCCACTAAAAAGGCAGAATCCTAGGGTTGCGGTCATGACTATTGATTTGCTTGAGGCAAACCAGTACATAATTTTTGATGTGAACAGTTGGAACACGGCGGGGTTGACGGGGACCTCGGGGGGTTTCACAAGGATCTGAGTTTTGACGCGACAAACCCAAGTCAGCACTCCGACAACTCAGCTCACAACCACATCACTCCTCAGCATGGGCACTCGGAATCAGCACGACCATGGACTCCAATCCAATAAGCATAACTACACTCGACTCTATCAGGTTAGCCAGCCGATCGGTTTCCTTTTTTTAATGATCGTAAAAAATTCAATACTTCATATAACTGAGTTTTTTTTTCTGGGCTATGACCAGGTCATCCTTCGGAGGCGAACATATCACTTTTGCCTGATTAGTTATCTGCTAAGTAACATCGTGTTATGGTTTGTTATGTTGGATGGTTTACGTCAGTACACAAATGAAAAAATTATGAAACTCAAAAGACAGGCGGATACCCAGCCACGCTGACGCCCGATCTCATCGAGAAACTGATTTATAATCTTACCTCCTCCTTTTAGCCGCGCTCTGGAATGGGCTTCGGATAACTACTTGGATCATGGGCGGAGCTAATTGGGCAAGTGCAACTATCCCGCTGATGACGTTGAGGAGATTGCAGCTTACAGGTTTGTTCGTATCCTTTCTACTCTTTCCAGCCTCCCAGAGTGCCCGGACATGAATAATCTGAATCTGACAAATGTCCTACAGCATCTAGCTTATACGCCCCCAATCGATATGCAAAATTCTGGGCGGTATTGAAATCTACAGAATTTATCACGTCAACGCTGTTTTGCTCCATCAGTGGCTCCTTGCTCTGCTTGACTTACGTGTCGGCTGCGTTGGCTTTGAATGAAAACCCTGAGTTGGGTCTTTTTAAAAGCGTACCAGGGTAAATTAATTCTTATCGACTCAGTCTGCCAAGGTTTCCAATATCGCTGACCTCTTCTATTGTTTTCTTATTTACCAGACGAGGAGTCACTCAAATCAGCGAGCGACCAATATTCCTACTGGCATCTTGCTGGTACACTGCGCTGTGTTATTCCTTCTCTGCCATTTATCATGGTAAATGGCATTACCGCCCTTTCGATGTGTCAGAGCATGTAAGCCTTTCTCTCCAAGACGCGCATTCAATTTCTTGTGGTTCTCCCAACTCATATATTCCGCAAATGACCCGTCACTAGCTCACGATTCCACAAAGAATCTGGAATTCGCTGGACTCGCGAATTGAATTCGTCCGGAGATCGATCATATATTGTTCTGCCACGTTTTTACCGATTTATCTCATTTCCCGAAGATATCTCATCAGGGCGATCGTCTTTTCCAAGTACACACAGTTAACTAAACACATCAAGCCGCATATGGTGATGCTCATCAAGTTCGACTCGGTCTTCACGTTGACGTCTACTATCAGGCTGGTGATGATTAATGTGTTATTAATTTCTATGTGGGAAATCGTACAAGCGCTGTGGGACGTATATTCGACCCACCCACTTGATCTATCTCGGTTTGACACGGAACCAAACCAGTGCTTGTTGGAAGGAATCCGATCCACCGATCCTCGTGTGCAAGTAAGTAGCATCAACTGATTCAACCCCATAACACGTCCTTCTCTTGTTTTTTCTGTTTTTTCGCATTTTAAGTCTTACTGGTTTCATCTACAGAATTACGCGATCCGAGAGCTCGCCCATATATCGTGGAGTGACCCTGCGCGCCGATCCACGATTTTCAAGGATATCAGAGCATCTCCTCGGCTATTGAATTTGATCATTGAAGAATGTCTGAACATCATCGACACCACTAGAGCAACGATCGAATCTGGAGGACAACCGATTCAGAAGAGTAAGCCTTTTTCCCCGTCAAGAAACGATCAACTAAGTTTATCCAGACAGATTCACAAGACTCCACTAATTGTTGACTGTAGCAGTCTCGGCTGCCCAAACCTCTGTGGGGCCTCATAGACCTTCGCCCGGTACACATTCAGCCGTAAAGACCGACTTGCCACAGCTTTTCAACACAAGCTCCCATCCTAACTCAATGAAGCAGGTGTTCTTGAGAAAGCTCCTTTCGAGTGAAAGTGGCCAAGAACCAACAGCACCCGGCTCCACTACATTCCAGCCGTCTGCCACTTCGTTGAAAAAGGAGAAAACCGAGTCCGATTATCAGATTCCAGATATCTTCCTGCGAGACCAGAGTCGGAAACTTGCGAGTAAATCAACGTCTGACCTTTCCACCGGTGATAATTTGAAGCCTTCCCCATCCCCACAATCCTCAACAAAAGCGTTGCAGAGCTCTACTCCTCAGAAGCGGGAGAAGATTGTACCGAAGATCTGGAAGATTTTTCTTCACAGTCCTCTCCTGAAGTCCTCAGAAGCTGGCTCGCGATTAGAGGACTGGTTGTTTTCTCCTTCCATGACTGATGAGCTTGAGAAATGTCTCTCCAAGCGCCAGCTGTGCATGTTTTCTGTTGAGGGTAAGTAATCCGCATTGTTTTCTACACGTGTAATCTAATCTGAGTTTAGACGCTGACAATCTTCATTTTGCACGGTGGCATGATGACGTTCAGCTGTAACGAACTTCACCTGCGCGTCGTTGACAGAAGACCAGTATGGAGTACTTCAAGACCAAATTCCGCGGATCATGGAGAGTCTGGTCGACTGCTTTGATGCACTCGATCGGCTTCGCATAAATACCTGTGCGGAGTTCGGTGTGCAGCCTCCTCCCGTGCAAGCCACTGCGCCTGCTTCCTCCGAGTTGGACCCAGTCCAGATTCACTTCCATTTGACTCTCGACGAGCACCTACATCCCTTATTAACCCGTACGTCTTTCACTTCTAATTTTCCCTAACTATGGGATTGAAATTGACATGGGATGATTTCCAAAACACAGGTCTGAAGGCTGGGATCTTTGGAATCACCGATCAGTTCAAACCGTTCTTGAAAGAAATGTCGTTCAGTCCGAAGATTGACCAATGGATTCAATCCCATTCGCGATGATAAATTCTTCTGGACCAAATAGAACGGTCCGTCATAGTCTTTTCCAAAATAAGACCAGACGCGACCCGAGGATTGGAAAAAACTCTAACGGGAAACTGTTAGAATGATACACAAACTAGCCATACACACCGCCATGTAGATGAACCTTTGTTCGTACATTCTCTGATTGTCTAAAATGCTCTCGCCGTGTGTTTGATTCTTCAATATAAGCAAGACAAGCTATATCTTAAACTTCAAATGAAACGGAAATAAATGGGCAGGTACTCTATACACATGATGATACCTAGCTTTTTAATTGTTTGATGTTTAATCTTCGAAGAAGTTTTTTTTTTTCTTTCATCAATGTATCTGCTCGTTGACAACTCATCTAGGTAGAACCATATTTTCTTATCAAGATATTAGCAAAATCGATTGACTTCCAGAATGATCCTGATATATTTCCAGATATACAGACAAATACATGTTTATGATACGTGGTCAAAGCGCTGCATACGTGGCCAACGCCGTCCATTACAGCTTATCATAACGGGCTACGTAACTGAGCAATCATCGGAAATCTGCTCGAGACGATCAAGCTATCAAGCCTGTTTGCCATCCGGATGATCTACACATCAAAACTTAGTGCAATGTCTTATAGGCCTACATAGCTTCAGCCTCTCGCACACGGAGCTCCGTAAATGTACAACTCATCCCACAGTAACGCAATCCAAAACCCACCTTAGCCACCAAGTTAAACTCCGGCCTGGTGCCAAAACAAATGGCACGTAAGGCCGCGAGGGAAACGGCTCGTAGCGGCCGTCCCCCAGATGAGGCTTGTGCACTCGGAACGTCTTATCCCTCTTGCAATTGCCATGAATTCATCACAACTTCTTGCAATTGATTCTCATCTTCTCTTCAAAAACATGCCGATCACAACTGGCACAGTCATCGGAAGAGGGGGTCACATTGAGGAAAAAAGAATTGCCTCAACAGTGAGTCGAACACTGGACCTTTTGCTAGCACGCATACTAGGCAAACGCTCTACCACTGGGCTACTGAGGCTGATTATTGTAATTGTTACGTAATCGGAGACTATGTTGAAACTACTGTTTCCTTCGCTGCATCCATGTGCTATCCTAACAACTTTTTTTTGTTCCCCTAAAATTTATTTGTGCCCACCTCTCTCTCAGTGGTTGGTTTTTCTTGGACAAAATGGATGATGAGGTGATCATCAATCACCATCTATTTTGTACCACATCTCCAATTTATGATGATGTGGTATATTAAACATTGGTTGGTTTTTCTTGGAAAAAATGGATGGTGATTGATGATCACCACCATCTATTTTTTTTATCATGTCACAGATTGATGATGTGGTAAAAGTTGTCTAATGATGGTCAGATCAATCCCTGTTTGTGAGTATACTCAAGCCAAATTCCCATGAAAACTGGGGGAGCCCCTTCCCATCATCTGGGGCCAAATTGAAAAATTCAATTTGTTTTAGCCAGTTTTATTTACCCGGAATGGACCCTTTTTCAAGTACAATTTTGAATATATACCTGTAGATTTCAATACCCGCTAAGGGGGGGGGATATCCGCCAGCGGATGCGGATGCGGGTGCAGATGCCGCTTTCCCCGGAAAAAGCAACCGGATATACGGATGCAAAGTGACCATCTCTAAATTCAATACTGTATCTTTCTGCATCTTCCAAAATTTTGTTGAAAACAGTCCAAATTGGCCAAAAATGTACAGTAGTTTTTTGATAAGATACAATTGTAGTGTATCTGATTTCAGATATAATACCTGATGCAAATTTTTTGAAGTATCAGAGAAAATATACAATGCAAAAGTATCTGCATATACTGTATTGTATTGTATCTGTTTCACTGTTGACCTGAGGCATTTCAACAGGGATGTAAAATTGTGATATATTTTTTATCAGACTCAGAGGATGATGATTGATGAATGTATAATTTTCACACACACAAGTGTTGCTTCACAAGATGTATAAGGCTGTAGAGGGAAGCCAGATTAACACTTGCTTGGGTGACACCTAACAGCGGTGGGCCACTACGCTACACTACGCTATGGGCCCATGTAGTGTTGGCGTAGCGGCACCAATTTTTTTTCTTTTTGTGAAGTGTTAGCCCGCCACTACGGCCGCTGAGGTACGCTAATTTGTAGCGGCGCTAACACTAGCCATTTTTTGGTGTAGTGTTAGCGTGCCGCTGGCGCCGCTACGCTACAGCGTTTTTAGCGGCAAAAAAAACACACCTAAAACCCGCTAAAAATTTCTGTAACGCAGTGTAGGAGGCAGTTTTTGGCGGCCTGTGCGTGTAGCGTTAGCGCAGATGGGGGGAATCGTGCTAACGCTACGCTAAACGTTAGTGCAAGTTTTTGCCCCATGCACGTAGCGTTAGTGCAAAAAATGAAAAAAGTGCTAACGCTACGCTAAATTGTAGCAATTTTTCACTACACTATGCTACGCTAACGCTAAGGTCAGCGTAGCTGGCCCACCGTTGCACCTAAGGCCTTGTTTGGCAGCAATATAATGTGATAAATATATGGAAATTTGTGCCTGACATCCTATGTGACATCTGATCAGGTCTGCCAAAACTTGATAAGATGTCACCAAAATTGACGCTTCATCACTCAATTTGCCAAACAAGGCCTAAATTTTTCGATTGAGAATGGAGGACTCCCTGTCAGTTTTACAGGCCCTGTAGAGCCATTTTTACAGGCTGTAAATGTTGAAATTTTGAGCTCAAGCGTGTAAGAAGTTGAGGGCCAAAAAAGAGAGGATCTCATTTTGGGAAAGGCTCACAGAAAAGGAGTGTAAGAACCAATATTTTTCTTTTATTCACAAGCATCTAGTCAAGTTCAAATAGACTAAATACAAGTGGTCAAAAAGTGGTTGAAAGAGAATTGAATAAAAACTGAGAGGAATAAATATAGGGACTTCGTCAACCGACTCCCAAAAATTGGAGAGTCAACTCCCAAACCCAGGTTTCCCCGAAATTTGGGAGTCAATTCCCCAAATCCATCAGTGGGTTTGGGAGTCGGCCCCCCAAAGAAATTTAAATAAAAAAAGAAAAACCCTGGAGGGGTTGGGTGTCAATTCCCCAAAACCAAGTGGTTTTGGGGGGTTGGTGATCAAAAAAAAAAACCAGCGGCCGAGGGGATTTGGCCACAGAGATTGCTCTCTTGACGGCCGAGAGAATTTCTCTTGGGTGTTACATAAGGGTATAACCCTCAACGGCCGAATGAAACCTCTTGGCTGTTGAGGGTTTACATTCTAAACAACCGAGAGGAAACCCTCTCGGTCGTTGAGGTGTACACCCTTGATGGCCAAGAGGTTTCACTTGGCCGTTGAGGGGGTACACCCTTGACGGTCAACGGTCAAGAGGTCTCGACGGCCAAGAAGTTTCCCTCGGCCGTTGAGGTGTACATCCCCCACCGCCAAGAGAAACCCTCTCGGCCTTCGAGGTTGTAACAGCTGAGGGAAACTTTCTTGGCTGTCAAGAGAGCACTCTCCACAGCCGGGAGGAATCCTCCCGGCTGCTGTTTTTTTTTTTTTTTTTTTTTTTTTTTTCATCACCAACCCCCCAAAACCACTTGGTTTTGGGGCATTGACACCCAACCCCTCCGGGGTTTTTTTTTTAAAATTTTTTTGGGGGGCCAACTCCCAAACCCACTGACACTTTCAACAGTACCTCATATCCAGTACTGGATATGGAGTAAAAAAAACTGGATATTCAGTGTTTTTTTTTAAAAAAAAATGGTGTGAAGAGGTGAACAAAAAAAAATATAAAAATGCTACATATCCAGGTTTATTTTACTGCACATCCAGTGCGGGATATGAAGTTATGTTTCAAGTGTGATGGATTTGGGGAATTAACTCCCAAATTTTGGGGAAACCGGGGTTTGGGAGTTGACTCTCCAATTTTTGGGAGTCGGTTGATCAAGTCCCTAAGTATACGAGTTCTTGAAAGAAACAACGAGACAAGCCTTCTCAATCTCTTTTAGTCATACCAGTAAATTAATTGACAGAAAACATAGGTTAGACCACAAATATTGAAAGGTGTTAATTCTCAACAATCAGTTTTCAATGAATCAAATAGTGAACTAGAAAAGGAAAGAAGTCATTCTTCAAGACAAGAGTTGTTTGATAGAAGATTGCCACAATGATTTCTAATTAGACTACAAGAGTGCATAAGATTCAACATAAAACTAGCTGTGAGTGACTATAGTTCAGTCCAGATCAAGATGATACAATAAAGTAAAAGAATACAGAATGGATGGGATTTTTAGGGAGGAGTAGACAGAAAACCGCAAAAGCTCAACATTAGAGCTGTATTTTTTCTGGGAAAAGAGCTTAACAGTCTGTAAATCTGGTTTTAATGGGGCTTTAAAATTGAATGGGAGTTCTCCAATTTGTCTTATGTAACAGCTTGGATTTCTGCAAAATTGTAGATTCAAAATTTACTGGGACTAGATTTTGATTTGGACTTCCGTGGTTGGTGAGATGAATTTTCTTTTATCATGAACCAAATTTGCATTGACAACTTGAACACCAGTTTCATCATGTTTAAACTTTATAATAAGAGTTTGAAATTGTTCAGATCTTCTTCAAACCTATGAATCTTGATGTGTAAAATTAAGTTCCCAATTTCAAAATGTGAACTGAGATATTAAGCCTTGAGGCTAAGAGAAGATCCATGAGATTTAATATTTTTGGGTTGCTGTATTCTCAAGATAGAAACCAGAATTCAAGTTTTGAAGGCCAAAATTTCTACTGCACATCCCAGGCCTTGTTAAAATAGAGTTTCTATCTGCTGACTGGCAAGGGGGGTGATGTAATATGTACAGTGTTTAGGTTTCACAGAAGGAACACAGAAATAGCATGTGATTTTCCTAGGTCCAGAGTTGCTTCTGAGTCTTCAAGTTTGGAGAGTGGATACACATCAAGGATGAAAAATGTCAAATGGTGATCCCAATGGCAACTTGAGTGGGTTGTGTTTTTTGAATTTGGTTTGCCAAATGTGGGATAGCAAACCAATTTAGCAGCAGTGGGCAGATACGTTACAGTACTTTATGGCAGGGGATTTGGAGAACATAACTTTTTTTAGTTATCCAAATCTGTTGTTTTGGTAAAGTCACTAAATTTGGTTTTGTAAAGTAATGTAACATAACCAATTTTATTTTTTCCATATAATTTTTTGGGGTAACAAAACTTATTTGGGGGGAGGGTGTTATGTGAGGTTGAAGAGCCAAATCATATTTCATATAGCTTACACT